TAGACGGAAGTGCAGCGTAGTGATCCGCCTACCTACTTAATAGCGTCCCTCCTTTCCTATCTAATTTCTTCCCTCATACCTTTTTGCCATGTCTATGCATAAGAGCGAGAATTTATGACGATCCCAGTTAATCATTGTGCTTAGTTGGGTTGCATCGTTAGGAAAATTGCAACATCATATACATCGTCTGTCTCAGCGCTGCCAATAAATCGCTGCCATTTTTGTATATTTCCCAGAGCCCTATTATAAAACCAAAAAACCACGTGTGGCTATTTCCAGTCGAGAAATGACGTATTTCCTGAGAAACTGCAACAGTATGAAGGCCAGAAGAAGTCTGAGAGTTCGAGACATCCGGCAAAGGAGAAGTTGGGTAGCGATGGGGTACGTAAAGCAGGAACTCCCAGTCAAGGCACTTCCATGACGCAAAAAGGCCGAGGGGAACCTATGCTTAGCTCATAAAGGCCAAAAATCGTTATAGAGATGTGTTGAAGTGACGGGCGACTGATGACTAGTTCCAAGTGAAATGAGCACTATGAGATAGTATGGGCGAAAAGTCGAGTTGACCAGTATAGATTTGTTGGTGCTTACAACATTTATGGAGTGCTGTGGGCGTTTCAGATTCATCCTGCAGAAGAACGAAAATCATCTACAACTGTAGATCCCATCCACTTATCCGTTACTCTATTGTTGGCCTTTCCAATTCCCCATTCCGGATCTACACACCACTCCTCGGCTTCTCATCGACGTCTAATCTTTCATTATCAAATTTTCCAATGAAGCTGTGCTATCGATTGTTGTGGAAGAAAAGTTTCTCAACTGGAGAACATGTGGAAAATCACATTATGCTAGGACTACATCAGCAAAAATTCGCCGTACTCTCAAGATTTCCAATTTACCAACTACACCTTAAGTTGTTGCTCGGCGAATTGAGAATTCATGGATATTATGCATATTAGAGGTTGAGCTCCAAAGTAGAGTGAGAAAAAACTTCTCAGTTAAACAACTAGCCCATTTCAAATTGGAAAAAAGGTACACCATTTCCAATCAGTGAAAAATGACATTAACTTATTCATCCTGAACTATCCTTAAACATTTATCCTCTATTGCCCTAAGCCTTTACTGCTACTTGTTCTCTTGCTCTTCTGGTTGCTAGATTTGGCTAAGCTAAAGCAAAAAGTACTTTAATGGCCACGTTGAGTCCGCACAGATAAGGGTCAGCTCAGTTTCAACTATGCTGACGGGCTTCAAAAAGAACTATAAAAATGTTTCATGGTCAATTTGACGAAGTGGATAGCAGTAAAGGGTAGCTAAAGTTGTCGCACACGGTTCTAGGGTCTGATAGTTCCCCTTGACCGTTACCAAACGGCAATCGATCAATAACAGCTTCGCATCCGCTCGCATAAACTCAACAAACTTAGACAATTAAGCTTTTCTGCTACACAGATATAGCTGAAGAGTTCTTGCTTACAGCATGTGCAACTTCTTTAGAGGTAGGTAGTTTTTCTCTGATGATGTGACATCATATGACATCCAATCGGAATTTTAGTATCGTTGTATAAGAACTATTTACATTACGGTCGAAGGAGGTAAGCTGTTGTTAATGTCTGGTGTTTACAATAGAGTTCAGTCTAGGACCAAAAAATTCATTTCAGAGGTACGAAATATCTTGGGAGGGAGAGGGTTACGAGGGATGAAGATCTGGAAAGAGAAAAGGTTCAGGAGGATGAGAGACAAAAGAGTTCCTGGGCAGGTTCCCGTCTGTGATTCATTTCCATGACTGTTTCCCCCTTACAAGTACAAGACTAGGCAGCTTTGTTTGACCGTCACCCAGCTGTAGTCATTAGCGCCAACCTTTCAACGTTCATCTCCCTTTCCCCCTAGTACGATTGGAACAATTCCATGGAAAAGAGCCAAAAAATGCAAAAGAAACGAAGGTGAGCCACCGATGCTGATTGGAAGCATTCACTGAAAAGTATTTTTCAAACTTTTTCCATTTGCTCTTGGGAAATTCCGAGAGAGAGCCAAACGAAGAATTACACGTTTTCTAGAAGGATTCTACTGATCCTAATTAGTTGGGTTTGAATAAAAAGTCGCCGGAAAAACGGTCTCTCCAACTGTTTCTCATTGAATTATGGAGATACTCAGGTCATTACAACTTAATACGTCAAATAGGCCACTCTTGGGACTCCCTGGCATCTGAGCTTCTACATTTGAAGCAACCATATATTTATGGGTTATACCTATAGACTGTCATACGAATTAAGACCACCTTTTCAGCAGCTACCTTCACAAAACTCACACTTACGCGAGTAAATACTGGAGGGAAATTTATCCGGGGGTTCCTTACTAGGTCGAGTTTTCTGAAACTTCTTTGGTATTAAGTTATGCCCAAATTTGAATAATGTTCGCGCCGTATAAAACCGTTTTCGCCATAGACAGTGATGGTGGACTTTGCCTTAGCATTAACGAAACTTTTTCTTCCAAATTTACTTACTGGTACAGAGTAAGAAATATACAATCGTCCCGAACAGTCGTCAGCATAACAGTTATCAGTGGGCAGAAAGCCTATTTTTTCAACATAACTGGCAAATGGGCCATGTAGCAGCTAAAGGACCATACGAAGGCATCTCTCTTCGAGAGCACCGTAGAAAATGAGTAGTCTTCATAAAACTAACCGTACTGGTGGAAAACGGAGAAAGGTCGAACTTACGAACCAAAAGCTCCCACGAGTGATTTTGAGAGAGTCTTAGATTGAAGTGGTGTCCGGAAAACGAAATACGGTTGACAATAAGGGTGGGGGTGCATTCGTTTTATTTATCTCAGCATCTTCTGGTAGTGGAGCGAATTCTTCAGATAGACAACCTGCTGCTAGTCAACGGAATCACTTATGTTGTCAGCAGGTCCACTCATACGGTTCAGTTGTCTTAAACAGAAAAACTGCGATGGGTCTAATGAGTAGGTATGGAAAGGATGTTCCTTCACAGAAACATAGGATGGTTTCATTTAGCTTTTACCTAACTCCATGCAGCCATCCTATTCTAGGCTTGAGCTTCAAAGGAGAACCTTATGGGACTGACTGATCCGGTTCAAAGAGCTATCGAACACGGTAGTTGTGAGTGACAATTCAGATGTCTGAGCTCCTAAGAGAGTATGGTTCTACCATAAAAAAAAGAACCAAGAGGCCTACTCAACTCTGACGGGATTCACAATTGCACCACCCGCTGCGCCAGGCCAATCCCAGCTAAAGCCGCTACGTAATAACCGAGGATTTCCGATTTTCCACTGCGAAAATCCAGAAAACCTACTGGCTACCCTTTATCACCCCTGATATCCTTGTATTTGCTTTGGAAACGTATAATTCACGTTTAAATAAACTGGAATTACTCATTAGAGCCTTCATCAAGACAAGAAGTACAGATGGTGAAGCCTATTCCCGTAAGATAATGAAAGGGTGAGTAGCGGATGTAGTCCAAGAAAATCAGCGTGGTGATGGTTAATTGCCAAGCGAGCACGAAGATTTCTGAAGCCTATCGTCAGCACCGCCTTCAGTCCCGCCTCTTATCTGAAGACGAGAAAAAAGCATCTGATTGCATTGCTCCATTAACGTTCTAGATTAGTTTCAGGCTTGATGGCTTGAAGATGAAAGCAATAGGGCATCAAAAGGTTGTAGACCTTGTATAGTCGTCACATTCCCCTTTTAAAGAAAAATTCGGAAAATTGAATTCTCAAGAGTGAAGAGACAGAGGAGCTGAGCTGAAAGTGGTCGTGCTGGTTGACACCTAGCTCCACCTCTTCCAATACCATGTACTTTACTGAAAGCCAAGTTGGAATGAGCTGAGCTAGACGGACATCCGGTAGAGGCTGGTCTCTCACAGCTCCTCATTAATATCCCATGCGTCTGTTTTGTCACTATTTCTGATCAAAAGCAATTTTTTCTAATTAGTCCACCTCACTCACTACTCATATGGTAGACATAGCTACAGCCATTCTGAGTCATATGATTTTCCAAGTTCTTCGAGCGTAAGCTTGAATTGCTGAATCACAGTTACGGAGGTTATAGGGATAGGCGAGAAGGACCCACAGGGATTTGTGAGAAAAGGCTTTTGCAGCAAAATTTTGGATGAAAAATTTAACCGAATCTGTTAATGTTTACAACTTCTTTCAACTTGATTGCCTTCCACAAAGAGATGGCTTTTGGCTAGAGACAACACGAGAAATCATAAACACTTGCTTATATCTGAAAATACTCGTACACCCAGTTGAGCGTAATGGCAATTACACTGACTAGGAGCGTGGGAGGTTTAATTGCACGGTTCGGTCCCGAATCCCAGGCTCCTATATGCAGGCCAACCACGTCACTTGCTAGCACCCCATTCTCATCTACGATACTTTACGATCAGGTTTCCTTCAATTCTTGCACCCAACTGTCACGATTCCGATTCTATTAGGATTCTCCTGGTTCCCAGTTCCAGATGCATAATTGACCACCGAACAATCCTTACTAAATCTCCTTGCTCACATGAATATTCTAAATTTCACATCTTGCTAATGACATTGGATTGATGAGATTTCTGTAGCCATAAATTTTACCGATGACGTCAAAACCTCTCTCGTAGCGCTCGCTAAACCCCTTAAGACTGATACAATCAAGACTTAATCCACCACATGTCGCTGAGGCCTATAGCATCGTAATTTGCAAACGTATTCCTGAATGAAAACGAGAAACCACCTCAAAAAATTCATCACGAACAGAAAAAAATGATTCAAACAATAACAAATCTACAATATTTTTGGTGACCGGCAACATAAACATATCTCTTATTAAAAAAACAGAAATGAGAAGAACAAGCCCATAGTCAACCACTTAACAGATGAACTTTTACGGTCTTGGTTCCAACTTCTTCAATAACTTTTGTACCTGAAAAGAATATAGACAGGAGCTATCAAAGGACGAGCACTATCGCTATTGTACNCTATCGATACTTGGAAATTCGTCGAGATAAAAGCCAAATACTCACCTCATAGAGTTTTTGCATATGCCGAATGAAGTGCTCTCCGACACGACGAGCCACTTTGGTATCGGCAATACAAATCATGTCCTTAAACAACCATGAAGTACCCCACCGTCATGATGCTTCCCAACTAATGTAGTTTTTCCAAAATGTAGTCCAAAAACAATTAATTAACTAAACAGTGCAATCAGACAAAGCAGGATTCTTGATGAGACTGATAATGATTCAATTTCTCAAAAAGAGGACGTACCTTGTCTACGTAAAAATCAATATCTGTATTCGGTTCATCGTCGTCATTCGAGGACGCTAGGGAATCCTTGCCAAGTTCATTGACTACCATCTAATCCAAAGGCAATTTAGAAAATAAAAAAGTTGTCCATAGATTTTCAACTGGCTGACCTTATACGTTAACAGCTTTCCCAAGAAGGAATCATAGTTCTTATCGTCCACATCCATAAATGAAGCCAGCTTTTTAGTCGGTAGGGACGTGTACAATTTGAGGTATCCACGCAGAACTGGTAACGCCATTTGTGCTTCAACACCTTCAAGGAAGGCTTGTGATTGGCGCAATAGCGGCTCCTAGGAACAAAGTAAATTAAAACTTTGGTTGCCAAACTTTAGATGAAATAGAACCTTGGACAGATTCGATCCTTCGTACACGACGGTAGTTGGCGAGAGGAACTTTGGACATCTGCAATTAAAGTTATGAGATCCGTTAATTTTACAACTGCTAAGAAAACTGCTCAGTTCTGAGGTAAAAATAGGTTACGCATCCAGACACTGACCCCATCTGGAACGCTAGGCGGAACTCGTCCAAGTCACCATTACCCATACGCGACATCCGATCACCACAACGTTCTACGAGTTGAGATGCAATCGATTCATCGATACGCTGTGGTTGGATAGCCAGGCAGATAGCAAGTAAGTGAAATAGTTGATCGTAGGTTTTCCCAATCTAGAAACGTTCTGGTGGAATACCCTATTTGAGAGCTATTTAGTAGACCATAAAATGTGAACGGATGAGTCTGCCGTCAATTTATAAAAGGCAACCACAGAAAAATATTGATTTCGTTGACTTACAACGTCATACTGGAAATTCTTCTGCTTCTGCTGCTGAGTCTGGATCGCTTTCGTTCTTTGAATGAACATCAAACAATTTACGAACATTTTCGTTGCTTCGCCGTAGTTTCGCATCATCATATGAGAGAAACCGACGAAATAATGCAAAGTTACAAGGCATGATGGAACAGTGTTGTACAAGCCCTGAAGACGTTATTGCTGAACATAAATCGAGAAACTGAGTAGCCGTAAGTATCATGAGAAAACTTCAGATCCACAAAGGTGTCTTTTGGTGTACCGCCATATGACTACAAGAATTTCAGTCAAGTAGTTTTGGAGGGTGCAGAAGAAAGGAGAAAGAATGAAGTATAACATAATGAAAAGCAGTAGGATAACAAAGAATGTTCCAAATTACACTCTACATCTAACTGAAAAAAACTTAACGAATTTCCAAAAGACTAACAGTCACAAAAACGAGATAAGCCATACCTTCGCATCGAACTCTACATTCTCGACTGTTTTCAAAGCTTGGTGATAATCTCCAAGAAGTACATGAGTTCTCAACAATCCAATCAAAGAGAAGTAACCAAGTTTGAAATAAAGCGCAGATTGTCCAAATTCATCGGCGACATCATCAGGATTCCCTGGATTAAAAAAAAATGGAACAGAGACTTTTGTACATGGAAACAACAATATACTTACTTCGAGCCCTGATGGCCGCCAGTTGCTCGTTGATTTGTGATTTCGACAGCAGTGAATACAGAATGTTCAGGACAGGATAGATATTCCATGCCTGAAGATGGTGAATGATGATGTGAAGCTTTCTCAGTTCCAAGATGGGAAAACAAAAGTAAAGAAAACCAAAATAGATAAAAAAAAATAAGTACCAACGGCAAATATGACTCATTACAGTAATATAACATACATTTTGTGCTTCCTCGATGCTGATAAGTTCATCAACCTCGTCCACGCTTCGCTTCCCAGGATTTGCTTTATATAGACAGAAAGCTTGGAACTGAAATACCATTTACTATCA